CCTACCCATTATCCCTACTATACATTTGGAAGCCGCCCCCCCTCCTAAAGAACACACACTTTGGGTTGTCACCCCAAGCTTCCCTTAGTATCAGGAGTTGGTTTCTGGGACAAGCTCAAAACTTACTAAATATGGAATATCCCTAGATTGCGAATTTGGACACAGGACAAACACCATTGTGTTTAGAACAATCTCTACATTCCGTAAATATGCCAAATGAGAAAATCTAAACACTTTCTATAAATAGCATTTGGGACCAAAATGAAATTAACACAAAAAGCATGATAGTGAGGGTGTTTAGTAGACACGGTAAGCTATTGTCCAGCGATATTGAGGGACTAGTCTTAATACATAAGGGTTTTTGTCAAACCAATGCAAGACAGAGCAAAAGAGAATTAACAAGCCGGGCCAAGTATGCTTGGCTAAATAGATACTTAAGAATTCCGTCCTTATACTCGTCTGGCCAAGTATAGATGCAAAGTCCAATTTATTAACACTTGAACAAGAGGGACTGATAAAAGGTCCAACAATACTGACCTCCTGCCGTCATGGCAGTAAAGAAAAAATATCTGAAAGGATAGCCAATAGCTAACTTTCGATACTTGAAGTCACATTCACAGCATTAATCATTTTACATATATCCATAAGCTTATTGTGGAGTATGAAAAACGTAATTAGAAATAACTTTTGTAATCCTTTGTAATAAACCTTGAAAATTAATAAAATTATATGTTTCTTTAAATCTAAAATTGGTAGACTCTTTGGTGCATGGGCAATTATAACAATAGGGATAACTATTATAGACTAATTATAAGTCCCACTTCTCTCTTGTTGACCTATTTTTGAAAAATACCAATTTATAATAATTGTCTAAATCTTCATGATGGGGTTAATTTGTGTAGAGGAGTTAGGTCTTTGGCTCTCTCTCTAAATCCCTATAGGTAGGGTTGTATTATTCTTTTGTAAACTAATTGGTACTCAAAGTAGCAAAGGTGGCTACTTTTGTTAATCATTTCCTTCTTAGTAACAACTAGAGGGTGTCTAAATATTTGTGTCTTTGACATAGAGGAAAGGTCATTCACTCATTTAAGTTAGTGTATTTTCTATAAAGTATACCTTATGTTAACTTTCAAAATTATTTCTTTAATGGTTTGTTAAACTAGGGTATGCATTGATAAGGACACCAATCTTCCTAAAAGGGGGAGAGTGTCATAAATGTGACATTAGGTATCAAAAGATACTTGCTAACTAATCTTTCCAAACACTCTCTCTTTACTGTTGTGATGATAGTAAATTAATACTACTAGTTCACTTTATTAGTCCCTTTTATTCAACTATAGTAAATTATGTTTAGCATTTGTACTTAGCTAGATAAATATAAGGTAGGAACTCCTATATGTTTCTTGTTAAATATACATGGTCTAGCTTTTAGTTTTATTTTGCTATATTTTGCACTAACTTGATAAGAATCCTTATGTATTGAGTTTATTCCCTCAATATCACTATATATTAGCTTATTGCGTTAACTAGACATTCTCACTATTATGCCTTATATATTAGTCCTATTTTAGTCTCATATACTATTTGTTTAGATTTACTAGTGAGGCATATCTAAGAAATGTGAGTGTTTTAAATCCTATAGTGTTATTCTATAGCACATGTGATCATGGGATGAGATTTAGATATACTGTCATTATGGATCCTTAGAACTTTGAGGGATAAATGGGGATAAAATAGCCACTAAAGGTTCTTTTATCAAGAAATTACCTTTTTTTTAGTTGGCTTAAGAGGAGAAAGATAAGGTGCACTACAGTTGGTATCAGAGTAAATGGCACAGGTTCGATTCCCATTTATTAGTGGCTACTTAAAAATATAATATACCCTTAAATAAGGTATATTCCTACTCCTAAATTTGAAATTGTATGTATTGGGTATCCATGCGTATGTCGTTCCTCTTGTGTGGAGTATCCACCGACGAAAGTATCCACCATAAGACTGCGGTATGGGTAGTTGCCTCATATAGAATAGCTAGTCTACACAATGGAAAAATTGGTAGATTCAATGCGAAAATGGAGGTGTTGGTTCCCCTTGGCTTAGTAGGGGTTATTAGTCAATAGTCAATGAGGACATTGACGTCTCTAAAAGGGGGGTGAGTGTAGCGTATGTGATCAATGGGATGAGATTTGGATATACTGTCACTATGGATCCTTGGAACCTTGGGGGATAAATAGGGATAAAATAGGCACTAAGTGCTCTCTCATCAAGTAATTCATTGATATTTCTGAGGGGGGGTGAATGTAACACATGTGATCATGGGATGAAATTTAGATCTACTGTCACTATGGATCCTTGAAACCTTGGGGGATAAATGGGGATAAAATAGCCACTAAAGGCTCTCTCATCAAGCAATTGCTCTTTTTCCAATTGGCTTAAGGGAAGAGAGATAAAGTGCGCTATATATTTCTACATCTAATTCATGATATAGTACTATTCCATATTTAACAAGTTTTTAAGTTTTTCCCAAAGACTAACTCTTGGGACTAGGGTGAAAGCCCAAAATAAGGGGTTATGAAGGGTTTTAAATATATAGTAGGGATAGTAGTTGGAAGTATGGCCAACCATTTGAGACATTAGTTTAGCTTTTATTGAGTTATATCACTTTTTGTTTTGCATTTAACTTAGCTTTAAGCTTAAGTTCCATATTTCTCTAATTAATCACCTCCTCACATTAAACCATTGGAATATTGAAATTGTGATAAACTTTATTTAACACTGTTTTGTATATAAGAGCTAAATATGGGGAGCTTGTGCTTATAGGAGATTTTAAGTGCATATTGAACCTTCATCTTTTAGTGCAAAAGGCTTGAAATTCAACTCTAAATTCAAGTGCACTTCATAGTTTAAGTGTATATTTTTTAAGGATATGAGTTATTTTGGATACCACACTTTTTGCGAAGGTTTACAAGTTGATATTGATAAACTTATAACAATTTTGAAGTTCCTTACACTAAAGTGTATGCATGACATACAACACTTTCTTAGTAAGGTGCAATATTTCAAATATTTTATTAATTATTATTATTATCACATTACACCATTATGAACATTCTTGAAGTCATTAATGCCATATTTCATTATAAAAGATTGCAAATTGGAAATTTGATGTAAATGTTAACAATTCTTCTAGTTTTGGCATACCCCAACTACATTAGGCATTTCATCTTGCTTAAGGATGGTTGTGATATTGGTCTTGGGGGCATTTTGATGTAAGAGAGTATAGATGTCCCTAGCCAATGTTATCCTATTGCATATATTAATTATACTTTGCAACCAACTAAGATAAACTATTCTATGATAGAGAAGGAGTATCTAGAGTGGTTTGGGATTTTAAGAAGCTTTATATGTACTTATATAGTTTTTATATACTATTAGAGAGTAAGAATGTTGCAATTACTTTATTATTGAAGTGAAAGAATTTAGTTAGCTATATTGTTTAGTCAGCCTTAAAAAATCAAATTGAAAACTTCAAGGTTATTCAGTGGCTAGAGAATTCTATGGCTAATGCTAAAGTACTTGAACTTTGATTGGGATGGTTATCTACTATCTCTCTAATATGCATTATTGTAGCAAATATCTCTATGTCAAGCTCTCAACACTCACACAAACTCCTAATTGCTACTATACCAAGAGCAAGAGCAAGAAAGCTAACTACTCCAACAAAGTTATTTGAATGATGTTCTCTTTATCATTGTCCAGAGAATAAGTTTATTTCAATCTTAGAGAACACTCAAGAAGTATATGAATCAATCACTAAAAATTGGCTTCAATCATATTTTGTGATAATTAGAAAACTAAGCCACTTTACAAAGGTGTTTTGCAAGTAGCTCATCCCATTCCCCATACTTTCTAAGTGCTCTTGCATTCCCTTGAGAATAACATTGGTTTGCTTCTCTTGCAGCCTGTCCAAATAAAAAATGGGAGAACCAATTTGGAAAATTGAACGAAAGCTTTTTCTGAATCCATGAGGCCATTGTTCCATGTTACAGGTCCAGAGTTGTGCTTAAGAGACTCCTCCCAAACCTGTGAGAGTTGCTTTTCTCTTTGGTGGGACAAAGTTACACAAAACAAAACAAATGATATTTTGTACTGATGATAAAGTCAATTACCTTTTCTGGCACAGACTTTGTGCTTGCTATAGTATTGCTTAGTATAACCTTGATACTCATAAAACAGATAATAGTGTGTATTAACATGCAAGTTTTAGAGTGATACCTAGCTTGTCTTGCTGCAAAAAAAGTATTTTAATTGGACTGTTTAGATTCAATGGACATAAACTTTGATATGAAGGTGAAATAACCGCTTGCAATTATGGTAATCTTAATTTTAACAAAAATTAAATTATAATCTGAAAATATATGGGACTAATAACAATATTAACAAAACACAATTAGAGTATTAACTATAGAACTATAGAAAACAATGGAAGTTAGTGCAAAAATAAAATTGCTTTTAAAATACTTGGATTAGAAGCCATGCTTTTCCCTTCTGATTATTGTAGTTGATGCTTTTTCTAATATAAAAACCAAAGTTCTTTTTAATAGATTATATTAAGCTATATATATGGTGTACTTAGAATATCCACATATTTTAGGATATTCTTAATCTATTGGTTGTTATTTTTCTGATACTGTTTTTCTAAATAAATATTTACTTGTTATGATAACAAAAAATTCTTGCATATTTCAAACATAAAAGAGGGTAATTTCTTTTTATGTTTCTTCATTTATTTTAGATATTTTAATTATGAATTTTATAATTTTTTAGTAACATAGTTAAAATTTTCTCTAATTCTTTATTCTTATTCATCACTAATACAAACCAGTTAGAATGTGACTATATCACTCCAAAAATTGCATTAAAAAAAAAGAAAACAGCAGCAAATTATTAATTTACAGAACTTAAAATTTGAATTGATAGTGTTACCATTTTAGGTATCAGCTATGGTGTTGCCATTGAGCTTGGCGCTCTTCTCGACCTCGTCTTCCCCTGTCGCAGCCAGCGGAGGTGCTCGACTGGAGCGCGAGCGGCGTTACATTCTTCGGCAATTCCAGCGACGCGGGGTGAGATTCGTGTGCGCGGCGACTAGCGATGGCAATGGCGACGTGCTGGAGCTGAGGGGATGGCAATGGGGGAGGACTACGAAAGAGCTGGTAAGACTGAGCAGTGTCTCCGATTGTAGGTTCTTTTTTCAAAGGAGATTATCATTCTTGTTTGCGTGTAGGCTGCCTATGGAGCTTTGCTGGTTGCTGTCCCAGTTGTGCCATTGTTGCCTCGATTCGAGTGGTCGGCCGCGATCTATTTTACTTCCCTGTCGCTGTGGACAGTCTACGTTGGAAGCCACCGAAGGTCTGTATTTCTTTGCTCCCTTTTCATCCTCTTTTATTCTAAAGGGGTCCATTGCATTGTTTCCTTCTTAGTTTAGCGAGGCAGCAAACGCAACAGGTTTCTTTCAAGCAAGGCCTCGCCGCGCCTGTGTTGTGCTCCATATCACTCTTTGGTTTTTACTGCCTCTTGAGGTTCTTCCCGGAGCTCGATCTACGTACGTTCATCTCGATCTATCTAAGCTGCGCTGGAGCTTTTGCCGTGGCAAATAACTTAACCAATCCTCTCAAGTTGCTCTTCCCGCGTCTGGATTCACTTCCAGTCCGAATCAGTAAGTGCTTTATTTTGTTTTTTTTTTTTTCTACATTTTTTTGTGCTGATAATTCTTTTGTTTTCTAGACGTGCCATCTTGGCTTGCTTCGGACAAAGGAAAACCTGTCTGCCTTACCGTCACTGCGGCCGACATTATTGCATTGCTTGGTATGGCCACGAGTTTTTTCCACGAGTTATTGGCTGTGTTCTTAGAACAATTCTTGCAGCTGGAATTGGAGTCGCTTACGCCAGCAAGCAACCCGGAGCACCTTTCACGTTCAACAATCTTATGGCAGTATGTATTGTGACCGAGCTCTTGCAACTTCTTTCTGTTGGAAGGTGACTAGCAGTTCTACATTTTTTAATCTGTGTTCCTGAACCTCTGGGGTGTTTCCTCGCAGCTTCAGTACCGCTGCCGTGATGCTTTGCGGGCTGCTGCTCTATGACGTTTTTTGGGTTTTTGGTTCTTCTCAAATTTTTGGTGACAATGTGATGGTCACGGTACGTTTTCTAAACGGGATTTCTGCAAGAAAAGAGTTTTAACTTGAATTAGTCTGGATCAGGTGGCGACCTCGTCAGCTTTTGATGGGCCTGTTAAACTCGTGTTTCCAAGCTGGAAGGTATGAAAACTAGTCGGTTCGTTAATCTGTCCTTGTTAAAGATGATTCCAGGCGGAAGTTGCACACCCTGAATCGATCCTGGGCCTGGGTGACATCGCTGCTCCAGGGTTGCTTATAGCTCTTATGCTCCGGTTCGACCAAGCCAGGTGTGCCGGGCTCCAGAACAATACAATCCCGGCAGCACCACAAAAGACATACTTTTCAAACTCAGTTATTGCTTACGTAGCTGGACTGACTCTCACGGTTGGTAAGTTTTATGGTCTGGCCTGGTCTGTGCTACAAAACAAGTGCTCTTTCTTTGTGTGCAGTGGCGAACTCTGTCTCTGGTGCAGCCCAGCCCGCTCTGCTGTATTTGGTGCCTTGTCTTCTCTCTAGCGCAATCCTGACCGCCTTGTCAAAGTCGGAAGCCCCCCTCCTGTTCAGCTACAAAGATGAAAGGCCGCCCGATGACGAGGCACAGCTGTAGCTGGGGCGGCTTATTCTGCGTCATGAGCGATCTGACTTGTCGACGTTTTCTACGGTAAAAGGCGTCAAAGTAAGAGCAACATTCCTCGTTTCTTTTTAGGCGATTTTCTTTCTTTGTTTTCTCAACAAGGCGGTCTCCTGTTTACAGGTGAGGCGTTCACTGTGTGTAGATACCATTGACTCGCTCGCTTATGAGATTCATGCACAGGGAGTGTGTGTGGTCAATGGGGTAAATATAAAAAGATTTCAAGATTTAGAATGGACAGGTCAGGTGCATGCGAAGTGACGAGTGTAAGTGAAACTCTTTTGTTCTTTCTTAGCTTTGAACTTCATGCTAAGACTAAGAAGGTGTCACGCAGGCGGAGGAGGAGGATTAGGAGGAGAAGCGTCGCGTGGTGGCTTGCTGCTTTATCGCTTTTGGAGCGTGGTGAATCTGGAGCATGGATGTCACTAGGATTGGGAGGGGATGATATTCGAGGCTCACTTCCGGCTGGGTATGATGGCTGTGATAATATAGCAAGCCACTTTGTTCTCTGAATCATCAGATTTTTTGTGCAGGGAGAGAAGAACAAAGCTGACACCGGTGCAATGTGGAGCGAATGAATGACGCGACGAGACGCGACTCTTTCAAATCAGTTTCAAAGCTTCAAGAGCAAAGGTCAATTGCTTACTGTTACAAACAACGCAGAGAAAGCTTGTTTGCGGTACTGTTTGCTTCTTTTTTCTCTTCTAACCTCTTTGCCATCTATATGTTGGAGATGACTACTCACTCGTCCATGCCCAGAGAAAGCCAGGCCCCCACCGAGCACTTCGGCGAGAATGGCCATATATATTTCTTTGCTCTCTGTGGATGAATCATGGCGTTATCACACGCTTCCCTCCACTAGAAACTTAGAAATTCCAAACAAGGAGCGGGGCCTGGCCGCGGATGAGCTGAGTGTGCCAATGAGTTTGCAAGTTGCTGTCAATCATGGGTTCCTCGTGTTGTAACGAGGATAAGTACAACCAAATCTTCGCTATTGCCTGACACGGGAAAATACAAAAGGTGGAGGAAGTCGTAGTAACGCAAGAGAAAGCCCAATATTTTTTTCATGGGCATTTGGAAGGAGATCTTGCAGATTTGGTGGTATGGTTTCAAGAGAAAAAAACAACACTTTGGATGATTGGAAGGGAAATGGAAGCTAGAATCCGTCCGGAGCAAGAACTCTGCATATATCTTTTGTTTTGGAGTTTCTCTCTTCCCAACTTATAGCATGCCAGGCTTATTCCAATCAGATCAACAGAAACTCAATCTGTGGGTACAGATTTGGGATGCGGTTTGTAAGTTACAGCTGTTTGCTCGAGCGTGATGTTTCAAAGCGCGCGCTGCATCAGAATAAAATCACCCAAGACATGATACTGACAAAAACAATCAAATCTCACTCAATTTAATCCAAAACCAAAGTTTATTGCTCACGCTGTGTTACTTGTAACTCTCCTACCTGATCTTCTTCTCTAGCTGATTTACACCGAATGCGAGACGATCGTGGGAGGAGACGAAGCTCACACTCGGATTTACCTCTCTTTTTTTTCTCAGCATTTTTATGTGGATTCAAAGGACGTGGTCCTGTTTGTAGAGCAAGAGCTCTGCTTGTTTAGTGCACTGGCGATGGCGTGTGGGTGCGAGCAGGGACGTAGTCTAATGCATCCACCAAGTGTCGCTCAGGATGAACCTCATTGCCAGGGATGTGCTTGTGGGTCGGTGGTGAGTCATTATGGTTGCGAGGAGGATAGTAATCCACATTCTCCTCAAGTTGATGTTCATGAGGATTTCCTGGATGAGTTCCAGGGCCTGAATAATCCAGCCTCACCCAAAGTTTTCGAGAATATATCTATCCATAACACAAGTGTCAATAAAAACTCTAGGAATTCATAAAAATTCAAAACACACACTCTCTCACTCTCTCTCTCTCTCTCTCTTCTCGCGTGCTCTCCTACCTCTTGCTCATGCGTTCCCGGTTCTTCCACTGATGCTCCAATGTCATTCCCGTTTCCTGCAAGCGAGACACACCACGAGTGAGCTTGGATTTTCAAACAAAATACCGACTAGACTACCTTCAGCAGCAGGCAAGAGACGAGCAGTGTCTCCCAGGAACGAGAGAAGCAGCATTGCCAGGATAAGAAGAACGAGATTGGCACTCATGATCACTCTGCAAGTCTGGAGAAGATGGATAGAGCTTGTGTTGTGAGAGGACCACACAAACACACACACACACACAGAACACTCCGAAGAAGGAAAGAACGAATGAATAAAATCCAGAACAAACCTGGCCTTTTATACTGGGACATAGGGAGGCTTTCCTTCACTGTCGTCAAGTGACGTATGCGGCAACTCTGTACATACCATCGGAGATAAAGTGTGTTATTACAATCCGGAGAAGAAAGAAAACAAACACTTGCCATGCACAGATTCTCTGTCGCGATTCCGGATGCGTCTACCGCCATCTTTGCATACGCTCCTTGTACTGTGGAAGCAACCAAGCGAGCATTAAGCAAACGCGCAAGAGCTGGAAAACAAGAAGAAAAACGAGTCATGATCATGGGAGAAGCACAACGAGAGGACCTTGTGTCGCACACGTGAAGTCTGGCCAGACATACTCTCGTGCGTACGAAGCAACAGCTATCATTCCGAGGCTTTTGCTATCCCAGGAAATCGATATTCATTCCCTGCGCACGGGAAACAAAGAGTCACCTGCAAAGCAAAGAAAATGGCTCTGAGAGGAAATCAAAATGTGTGGGATTCATCGGTCTCACCTGATTGCTCCGTCGGCGCTCGCATGGGTCGGCCACCTCGCAAACAAAGGCCGGAGCTTTCACAATACAGCGAGCTGGAGAAGACGAGGCGTCGGCTTGTTTATCAAATTTCTTGCCATTGGGTCCCTGCGCGTGACTAAGACAACTTAGCTCCAGCAACACAAAGTTGGTGTTAGAAAAGGTGTTAGAAAACAATGGTGCCCGAATGTCGTACCCGATTTTAAGGTAGTTGTGTCTCGTCGTGCTCTCGGTTTCATTGCTGTGCTACCTTTAACTTTGATGAAGAGTCCACACAAAACAAATGCTGCTTTAGTCGGCACTGACGACAAAGCAAATCGCCTTTTTCCTGGACGGGCTCTGAGCGTTTCTCGCTGGCTGGCCTTTCCATCTCCCTGTAGTATAGCTTAGTATAACGTTGAAACTCAGAAAATAGATGGCAGTGCGTACCAACAGGCTCTTTTGCCCTAGGACCTGTTGCCAGCTTGGTTCGCTTTGCGCTGCCCTGCTGCAAAACCGCGATAAAGAAACATTGGGAAAAGAAACGAGATTTACGCTGAGCTGATAGAGATGGCAGTCCAAACTCGCGTCATTATAAGAAGAAAAATTACAATGCAGTTCTCAGCTGCAAGCAGTCCACACATTAGTATGCTTTACAGCGTAACTCTGTATCAAAAGCCGGGAAACTATACAAGAGGCGACTGTACTTTTTCTTTCACTTGGAGCTCGCCTTACACTTTACCTCGCCTTCGCCTGGGGGAGATTCACTCCCATTCTAGTTGCAACCTGTTATGATTTTGTAAGTGTGAAGCTAGATAATACGAGGAAAAAAAGAGACAAGAAAGCTTACATCACGAAACGATTGAACATCTCCACCCCAGAGCCAAGCGTCGCAGCCTGCATCCCTGGCACCCCAGATATCGTTGCGTCGGTCATCTCCAACGTGCACAGCGTCTTCCGGTTTGACTCCCACCAATTCACACGCATGCAAGAAAATTGTCGGGTTTGGCTTCTCGGCTTCCACCTAGAAAGAAAAAGAAAAAAACAAAACAAAAAAAACCAAGTCAGATGAAGAGACAAGAAAACAACACACCTCCGCGGATATCGCCATGGCATCAAACCAGTGATCACATCCCAGCGAGTTCATCAGCGGCCTCAGCCTGGTATCAAAGTTTGAGACGACGGCGATCTTGACACCCGCGTCTTTGAGAGCTTGAAAGACCATACCAGCATCTGGGTCGGAGACATACCAGGCCTGTCACGCATCATCAAAAGGAAGAGGATAGATTAAACAAAGCTTTCTCGAAAGGAGAAAACACTGTGCGTGATCATACCTCAGGTGTTTCGTAGTAATGATACAGCTCCTCGAAATATTCTTTGCTCGAACACCCAGAGGCGTGCTGTACGATGTACTCCCAGAAAGGCCGCGCGTCTTGGACATATCTAGATCGAAACATTTGTTTGAGAGCTTCGATCAATCTTCTAGACAAAGAGAAGAAAGGGAAGAAGAGTCACCTCAATCGCGACTGGTACCACGGCTGCGAGTATGCCCATCGATACCGGGCCAGAATTTCTTGCTCCGTGTACGTCACGCCATATTTCTTCCCGATCTCGCGGTAGACCTTGGCACGAAACTCGATCAGATCAAAATGCGAGACGAAATCTTCGAGGAAAGGGTTGAAATATTCGCCAGGAAGGATCAAGAAGAGGAGGGAAGGAGGCGCCGCGGCCATACCTGAGCAGCCGGCTGTGCCGGGATCAAGAGCGTGCCCGCCGCATCCACAAGAAGCGCCTTGTGGCTGATCCCGCCGTTGATCGACCGCCGATACTCATCGAAATCGCTAGCGGCAGCCAAGGCGCATCCGGAAGAGCTCCTCCTCGCGAGCAAAACCCGGCCGCCGGCGACGCCGCGCCGCGCAAGGGAAGCGCCCATTCTTCTCGCCATCGCCATTCCTGTGCCAGGGCATATTCCCGGCAAAATGAATGCGCAAAACGAATATGCTGACTTTCTAAAACAGGCGGATTGGCTAAAAGCCCGATATGGAAAGTGGCCACGCAGATGTACTGCTTCATCACAGGCCACAAGAATACGAATGACGTGGGCCAATGGGAATTCTCCAATAGATTTGTAGGAATCAGTAACGAGTGGCCATTATTGTTCGTGGAAGAGCCCTAGAAAAAAGTGGAGGAAGAAGGAAGGGTGTACTAGAGAGAATTTGGAATTCTTTTTAGAAAGGTCTGAGGTTCTCGAGAAGCTCTCGGGTTCCGCCATTGACAATGTGGCTAATTCCACCGTTGCTCTTTGGAGTGGGCGCTGCTGCGGACGATCGGCGGTGGCGGTCGCGCTTAGTGGAGCTCAGGCCCCAAATCCGGATGGTGTGATCGTCGCTAGCCGATGCAAACATGTGAGGATTGCTGGGATTCCAGCTCACGCAATTCACAGTGCCGGAATGGCCTGGTAGCACCTCTAGCAATTCCCCATTGCCCCTATGCCATATGTACACCTGACAAGAAAGGAAACAAGAGTTAAAACCCGTTCAAGAGCATCAAAACTAAACCCGAAGCAAAGCAAGAACAAGCAAAGGACAAACTTGGAGGCAAAGTGAGAACTCAAGAACTAAAAAAGTAGTCGAGGACAGTACGAGAAGAAGCTAAGGTAACATCAAAACTAAGCTCGAAGCAACGCAAGAACAAACAAAGGAAACTCACAGAAACTTGTGGAGGCAGCAAAGTGAGAACTCAAGAACTAAGAACTCTCCGTGAAGAAGCTAAGATCGAAGAATGGAAAACAAGAGCAAGCAAGTGAACACACTAGAACTAGGACGGAACTAAGAGAACGAAGAACTAGGAAAGGAAGAAAGATTTACCTGAGAATCTTCACTCCCACTAACAATAAATGCGTGATCGGATCCACCAAAGCACGACCTTATCACGTAGCGCCCCTGCCTATGGCCCTTGTACTTGCACGGCGACCTGGAGTTCAAGGCCATGTCCCATAAGTGGATCTCCTGGCTCACCAAGTTGACGAGGAGGTAGCGGCCGTCGAGCGAGACTGATAACGAGGTGATGGAGTGATCCTCCTCGATCAGTCTCTCGGTCTTGTCCTCCAAGTTGAAAACTCGAATGTCTTTGTCGTGGCAGATGCACACCACGTTGTTGCCGTCAGGCGTCACGGCCAAGTCGATGATCCTGGGCATCCTGGGTTTCCACACTTCTAGCTCGGCACCACTCAAGTCCCACCTGTACATGCACTTATCAACGGCCCCGGTGACGAAGGTTTTCCCGTCCGGAAACCAAGCACACGACGTAAAACCGTGGCTCGCCTTCTGAAACGTGTGCTTGCATTCCCCTGTTGCTGTATCCCACAGCTTCACTGCCTCCTCAGTTCCACACGTCAAGATCATAGAGTCGTCTGGACTCCACGCTACGAACGATACCGATTTGTGATGTCCGGCAAGTGTATGCTTCCGCCTTACAAAATCATCATCTACAACCTGTACATGGAGGCACCATAAGAAGAGAAAACAACTGTATGACCGAGACACGAGAACTAGAGCAGGAGCAGAAAAACCAATTCAAAACTGAAATAGGTAGCGAATTCAGACAGCAAATGCGGAAAAGAACGAAAAGAAAAGATCTAGAACTGACTCCAGAGCATCCAAGCGAAAGCAACTAGATCCATGAGCACTGACCTCCCATATTATAGCTGTACAATCCTTAGATGCGGACGCCAAGTGTCTGCCATCACGCGAGAATTGTAAGTACCATACTTCATTGTCGTGAGCCTCTAGTACCTGAAACATGGAAGCCCAGGACACACGAATCAATCCAGAATGGACTATGTATAGAAAGATCAGAATTAAAATAACATTGTCGAAAAAACGCACACACAGAGCCAAGAACAGTTCACCAAAGAGGCAAAACACACAGACAAACACACTGCTGCAACCTACATTCACCAAAACCCAGCCACAACTAGCTACAAGCACGAAGTATGAAGTACCTGGACCGTTTCAGTCGGGATCTGGTCACGTCCGCATTGGTGGTCGGTATAGAGCGACAGTGCCGTCTCAGCGGAGTTGTGGAAAATACATCCCTCGCGCTGCACCGCCAGCGCCTGCTCCACAAGGTGTTCTAGCCGCCTCTCCGGGATCATAATGTGTGGCGGCAGCAAAGCTTGTATTTTTTCCAGCAGCGCCATCCTGGCCTCGGTGTCGCTTCCCTTCCACTCCACTTTCTCCAAGATATCCCCTCGGGTGGGACAAACGACACAGCTCGCCAGCTCATGGACGCGTTGCCTGTTCACGCCCAGCGGCGAGATCTCCGTCCGCAAAGTTCGCAGGGCGCCAAGAACGTCGCCGCGATCCACAAGAAGCTCCAGGAACTTTTGCTGGAGGATAAGGAACGCCGCCAGCTTGTGCGTCTCGTCCAGTAAAGGACCAATTTTGGCGAGAGTGGCGACGCTCTCCTCCCACCTCCCGTCCAAAACCTCGCGGCGAAAGTCGGACACCACCGGCAGCTGCAAGGGGACCCCGGATTCCTCCTCCACCAATGCCGCAGCGCGAGAGTAGCCCAGCGAGTACAAGGCTTGCGTGATGATCCGGACAAACTCCACGCGGCGGATTTGCTTCTTGCTCCCCATCATCTGGCTCTCAATCGGCGGACCCATGCCGAGCGATTCGTGGGGCTTTGGCGAGCGGTAGAGCGACGAGGATTGCCTGGGCGACAGCAGTGGAAATGGCGCCAAGAGATTATGGTGCTGGCGTCGAGAATCTTGGTGAGGCGAGGAGAGCTTCATGCGCTTGAGCGGCGGCTCGTGTCGTTGCTCCTCTTCATCATCGTCGCTGCTGCAAGTGTCACCCCCTCCCATGAAACGGGCACAGCCCCCTCTATCCCATAAACCGGGGCGCCGCCGCGACGGATCTTCGCCTTGCTCGCTGCGGCCACACCGAATCCAAAATCCCCAAACCTGGCCCGATGTCGAGGCGCTCGCCGCTGCCCTCTAGCGCCTTCGCCCTCCAAAGAAACTGGCAAACCCTAGCCCTGGCCCTGCCCGAATTTTTATCTCATTTTTTTGCCTTCTTCGTGTGATGGTTGTGTGTGCGTTTGCGTTTGCTTTGTTGTTGTTGATGGTGGCGTCTTTCTTTTGGAAATTAACCGCATTGAGCGTAGGCTCTTGGAATCCGCCCGCAAAGACGCTACGCTACGTCTTCTCTAAGGAACACAGAGAGAGAGAGAGAGAGAGATTCTACGTCAAAATGGCTGCGCGAGCGCTTATCTGATTGCATGCGATACATTCTTCCAAGTCTATCAATCCATCCATAGTTTCTCTTCTCAATCGATCGATCAATCAATGCTTTGATGTTCTTGGCCAAGGAAGAGCTCCACAGGTACCTGGGATTGATCCAGCGCTGCGCGACCCTAATCGACGTCCACCGCGTCCACGTCCAAATTGCCGCGACCAGGCACTACCTAAAGAACACTCTCCTGGCCAACACCCTGGTCCAAATGTACGGAATTATGGGCAGCCTGGCAGACGCACGGAACGCCTTCGACGCCATCGCTGCCGCACGGAACCTCTTCTCCTGGAATATTCTCATCGCCGCGCACGTACGGCACTCCCAGCCCGGCGAGGCGGAGAGAATCTTTGCCAAGATGCCCGCCCGGGACGTGGTGTCGTACAACACGGTGATAGCGGCGCTGGCGAGGGCGGATAGAGTTGTAGCGGCGAGCGATCTCTTCTGTGAGTGCCCGGAGAGAGATCCAGTGTCTTGGAACGCGATAATCACAGCGCTTGCCCAATCTGGGCATTTGGATCTCGCGATGGCGCTGCTTAATCGATCACCACAATTCGGTCTCGTTTCTTCCACCTCGATCATGGCTGCTTGTGTAGCTCAAGGGCGGATCGATCGCGCGCAAGAAATTTTCAATGGGTTGCAACAACAGGACGTGGTCGCGCAGACGATCCTCTTCGCGGCATATGCCCAAATAGGGGATATTTCTCGCGCTCGCTGGATGTTCGATCGCATCGCAAGCAAGGACTCCACATCCTGGACGACAATAATCGCCGCATACATTGGCGGCAGCGATGACGATCTCCGAGAAGCAAGGAATCTCTTCGATCGGGTCCAAGACCCGGAAGCCGCGACTTATAACGTGATTATTTCCGCATATGCCCAAAAAGGGCAAATGCAGGAAGCTCGGCGATTGCTGGCTCGCATGCCTCATCCTGATCCAATTTCTTGGACTACGATCATCTCAGGCTACAACAAGCTTGGCGAGATCGACTGTGCCCGAGAAATCTTCGATCAAATGCCCGATCGAGACACGGTGGCCTGGAACGCGATGATCTCTGGCTACTGCCAGAGCGCGCGGCCCAGCGAGGCCTTGGATCTCTTCAAGCTCATGATCGTGGAAGGGATCAATCCAGTGCGCGAGACATTTGTGGCCGCGATCGATGCCTGCGCTGCCGTGCCCGCCGAGCGCGAGGGCAAGCTCGTCCATGTCGAGCTCCTGGCCAGCGGCGTACGGCCAGACGACGCCCAGGCCCACAACGCGCTACTGTCCATGTACGGTAGGATGGGCCACCTGGAAGTGGCCAGGGATCTCTTCGACGCTATGGAATCTTCCCGGGATCGCGTCACCTGGACCGCGATGCTGGCGGCATATGCCCAGAGCGGGCATCTGCGGGATGCGCTGGGGATATTCCACGCCATGGTGCTCCACGGCGAGGCCCCCGACGGCGTGACCTTCATTAACGTCCTGGCGGCGTGCGCACACGCGGGCCTCGTACGGACGGGGTGGGCGTATTTCGTGTCCATGTGGTCCATGTACGGCGTGGAGCCGGGGGCCAGGCATTTCGTGTGCATGGTGGACATGCTCGCGCGCTCCGGGGAGGTGTGTACGGCCGCCGAGCTGGCCGGGTCTATGCCGTACCAGCCCAGCTCCATGGCGTGGATGTCCATGGCGGGAGCTTGCAGGGAGCAAGGGGATGCCATCCTGGGTGAAAATGCGCTAGAATATGCTCTAGACGGACCCTTCGATGCCCGGAGCGTTGCCGGGGTGGCACTCTGGTCTCAAATGCGTTGACAATTTAAACTTCATGGTCAACTGTTGACTCTGGTCAAAATATGCCTGCTCTGGGATGCTAAAACTCGAGTAGAAAAACTTGTAAAAAGGAGCTCCCGGAATCAAATCATGTCCAGGACCCTGAGCGCACTGGAAGCCGGCCTTATAGCTTTCTCGTTCTTTTGCGTCCACTGAGCTATCCGCCAAGGCTTTTGCCACTTCCACTTGAACTGGAGCGGCCACTTTGGAGTGCCACTTTTCCTCCATTTCCAAGTCCTTCCTGAGCTCTCTGGATTTGGTTCTATGCTCTGGCATGCCTGCAAAGAAAAGAAGACACTGCTAAAACACACACACACACACAATTTGGCGCACTTACCCCGTCTCCAAGTTCGTCTGGATTGGAGAAACTCATAACTTGCTCCTCCAAAAGTCCCCCAATATCAAGCCGGAGGAGCTCGTCCGCATGAGCATCCGACACACCAGTATTATTGGCGGTCGTGGGCATCAGCTCTTCTAGTTGCTTCTTCTGACACTCCGTTTGCCGCAGTTCATCCAGCAAGAGATTGATTTTCTCATTGAGTTCTTTATTTTCGTGTTCTCTATCACTTAGCTGGCATCTGCAGCACATCACAAAACTACTGTTGTTAGAAAACGTCCAGGGATTCCGTTCAATAACCTTGCACAGGCTGCAACGTTGAAAACGAAGTTGAGTAGATCCTTGGCATCTCCAAGAGTACGCACTTGCTGCCACCGAACTGGTCCCCTGACTCTATATTGTTCCTCTTCTAAATCTAATGCCGTGGTCGAGATGGTAATTGCCGTGCTCGTCCTCTCCAACGAATCAATACGTCCATTCGAGAAAGATGATACCGAAAGACCCTCCGTGTCGCACGGGCTGTTGCGAAACGATTATGAGCTGAAAAATCCAAATAGACAAAGCAATGCATACCTCGTTGGTGCGTTCTGAGCGTCCGAACGCGCATCTCCCTCTTGGCTGAAAGAGAAAAGTTAATATTTGAACCAAGAGAGACCAGTGTGCTTACAAAGCATTCTGCTTCTCGTAAGCAAGCCTCGCCTCTCGCAGCCTAACAGCACTTTCTAGTTCGTTATCAAACCATTGCTACAAAAGTTGAAATCAATGCTTAGTAACAAACCAAGAGACGCCTGAAGCAAACCTGAAATGTCTTCGCAGTCAGTTTAGCGGGTGTTCCTGACACATGGTTTTCACGAGCTTCCTGTTTTCGAGCTTCAAGGACTTCTTTAAGCCTTCGACTAGCTGTGGCTGCTTCCTCAGTTTTCCTATGCAGTACCTGCAAAGGCCAAAATGTTAAAATGGTGGTGACAATAAACACCTTCCTTCACCTGTTTTTGCCTTTCATGCAAGGTCTGTAGCTTGTGCATCTCATACTCATTCCGTCTACCTTCCTTGCGCAAGCGCATTAGTTCTTTCTCCCGGCAAGCCTTCCATGTCCTAAAATGTTCAGATTCTTGCTTTATGCGGTTTTGCAAATGCACCTGGAGATGGTAAGCTTGCAAAGTAAGTCCAACTGAAAATCTGCCCGGTAGAAAACATTGCCTTCTGCTGCTTGATTCGGTGTATCTCATTCTCTAATCGTTGCGCCGAATCATCACTCCGTTGCTTGAGTCTCAAAAGTTGTGCATGTTTTTCTTGCTGCTTTTTTAAATCAGAAATCTACCAGAAAGAAAACAATTAATAAAAATAAAAAGGAGAAAAAAGTGTGTAAGAGAATATAGGACCTGAGTTTCCAGATCTTTCAACTTCTGTGCGTACGAACTCTGAATCCTCTTGGTCTGTTCATCCGAAGAGGAATGAAGTGATTCGAGCTCCGACGACAATAGCTTTTTCTCCATCTGATAATTTCAAATTATTAGAAACAGAAGACTAATGCTTAGTTTACCTGAAGCTTCTTCTTCTCCTCTTCAAGCTCCAGTATTTTTTTATCGAAATGGTCTTTGAGTACAGCAGCATCATTGTTTGCAACTCGAGTCATCTCTGCCTGCAGAGTACAAGATCAGGTTGTGAACCATCGGATAAAAATCATGTTTTCAAAAGAAAATCTCAAAATCCTGGCCACAGTTTCTAAAAATTAAAGTTTACCTCTTTCTCCTTCAGCTGCATATTCAACTCTTGAAGTTCCTTATCCATACACTCCCTTAGAAACAGATGATGCTCCACCTCCTTAGCAGTCATGGCATCCTCCTCAAAAACGTCTGCATAATTCTCAATCAGATGCGACATTAAGCAGGTGTTTCTGATAGAAGACCATGGTTTCCGTCAACGATGTCGGAGCACCCTCCATCGGATGAAGTTGAAACGCGGCGAACATCGCCAGAACACGACGTGCGTAACAGCTGTAGCTCTGCTTCTAAATCATGAATTGTTCTCATGTAACTCTGCAGCAAGCTGGTAGGCTGCAATCGAGCAATTAGATTAAACCGAGAGACAAGAAAAAACAAGATCGTTCTACCTCAGCTGTGTGCTCGTCATAACCAGATGTTGGACGACGTTCAACTTCCTGTAAGAGCCTATCACGCTCCACTTGAGCATCAAGAGCACGTTGACAAAGACTGTTACAGCTTTCTTGCGACTCCATTAACTCCCTGCGTAGTTTTTCATTGCTAGCCTCCAACGAAGAGAGCTTTTGCTTCAAAACCTACGAAGCCACTCAATTTCAATTATGTTTGCTAGATTTTGTAAAAGACCTTACCTCAAGAACTGTAGGTGCGCATTCACTTGCACGAGCACAAACAAGCTCTGCCTGTAAGAGATTGAGCTGCTGTCGCAGTTTCTGCATCTCTGTCCCGATTGGATCTCTATTCACAATTGGTTTATTTTGGATATTTCTTGCCCGATTTGCGTACTTCAAAGTATTAAGAGTTTCCTCGACATTTGAATCAGCCGGACTGATACAAGCTGCGAAAAGGATTTTAGATTAGAAAAAAGGAAACAAATCGCCAAGGCTGTATACCTATCATCACAGTCCTGCTGTTACCACCAAGTGAATCCTGTCACGAGGCACTTATTAAATCATCACAGGACTTCAAAGTGATTCCCACAAACCTGTAAAAGTCGAGTGAGCTTGCTATCCCTGTACGGCACATGTCTTGGTTCCTTTCGCTTCTTGTCCTCTCCAAGAACGCTAATTACATTCCCAAGAGCTAAAAGACCTTTGTTGATATGAACACCTACAAGAACAAAAAAAATGGATGATGACAACTTCTTAACGATGGCAGCCATGCAATGCGTACCCTCTTTAAAACGCATCCCATCAGTTCCAGTCCTTTTTGCCCGCTCAGACCCAGCAAGGTCCACAAGATGAAGCTTTCCACACAGAAAGTCATCGCATGCAGCATCAAAAGAGGAAGAGCTCTTCTCACGGTGCTTTTTCTTCTGTTCCAAAGTGATGGTGAAGATAGCATGCGAACGGCTGCAATACTTTACCAATCAATAAGAAAACTAGAGACAGAAAACACAGAACAAACCTTGAACGAGAATTCATATTCGTGCTTCCGGTCGCACGGGAAAGAGAACCTTGAGCTAAACACGACGCCATCTCTTGCAAGGTGTGAACATCGGTTTCTGTGATGCCAGCAAGGTTGATCTCTCCAGCAGTGCTTTCCCGAATTTGAATTGATGGTCTTGTTAGCAGCGGCGTCTTCATCCCACTTGTGTCTTGCTTCGTAACTGTTGTTTCGCAAAGCAAGTCGTGGATTTCTTCTTTCAATATCTACAAGAACATAGACTTTTAGTAGCATTCATGCAAATCAAAGCTGATGAACAAAATGATATTACCTCTATAAACGAGACTCGGATGTGGAAGTGCGTTTGATTCCTGAGATGGTGGACTTTGTTAAAAATCTTCTCCATGACTTGGGGGATAACTCCTCCATTGTTCCCTCCAGGAGTGTACCCTGTTCCCATTGTGTATGTCTTCCCAGAACCAGTCTGCCACATAAGTTTTGATAGAAGGAAAGAATAAAACTTCTAACGCTCGTATCAACTTTGCATTCTCTCTAGTACCTGGCCATACGCAAGAACAGTAGCATTGTAGCCATAGAAGAGCCCATCCACAAGCGGAGCTACGCACTCCTTGAAGATCTTGGACGACGATGACTCGGTAGTGCCATAGACGTAATCAAACGTGAAACAATGCGTCCCGAGCTGGATCTGTGATGGTTTCCAGAAAGAATGAGCATCGAAATCTCGAAAGAACATACCTGAGGCTCTCCAGCGACAACATTGATGCAATCCCTACAGCCCTGCAAGAGCTCCGATCCGATGAGAGGCCGGATGTTCACGGCCACTTGCACGGCATCCTTGACCCCGGCGAGCGGCGGCTTGCCGGAATCCATCCTAGAAATTGCTTCTCTCAAAGATTCGCTGTGAGCATGAAGAAGAGTAGAAGATTTCAACCCTCGCCCTTCCTCCTCACTAAGATCATCGACACCGGCGATGTTCTAACAAACAGAATGCCGCAGCGCTGGCAGCAAGACCAAACCATGCCTGTTTGCCCCATCGATGATCGATCAGCGGCAGTGCCCCCTGGACCTTCTACCGGCGCCTCTCCGTAGAAGAACAACCGGTATCCCCAAGAACCCTAGAATCCTAACTCTTGCGGTTTTTCAAAATAATGCTAGCGCCTTCTTCCAGGGCAAGGGCGAGGGCGAGGGCGCTGGCGCTGGCAACGCGAGCTCTGGCGATAGGAGCGCAATCCACTCCTCCCTGCCTGCGCGAAGAGGTAAGCGATAGATCCAGCGCCTGGGATCTACTCTGATATTTCGTCGCAGCCAGCGTTCCAGACCTCGATCGTGACCCCGGTGACGCGATCCGGCATTGGATTACACACTGGCAAGGAGACGCGCGTGACGATCTTCCCTGCTCGAGCCGGCGCTGGGAGATTCTTCACGCTCCGGGAAGATCCAAGGGACTACACGATTCCAGCGTCGGCAGAATTTGTGGTGCCGGAGGCTTGCAAGCTGAGTACTCGCGTGGGGAGGATACGCACGGTGGAGCATGTTCTAGCGGCCTTGGAGGGCTTGTGCGTGGACAACTGCCGGATTCATCTGGAAGGGAATGACGAGGTGCCTTTGCTGGATGGATCGGCGTTGCCGTGGGTGGAAGCAATCGATCGCGCTGGGATCTGTGCTGCCAAAGACAAGGATGGGAATGCTGTTGCTAGAAGAAAGAGGTTCAAGCCTAAGTTTCCAGTCCATGTCGGGAACCCGGAATCGGACTCGTTTGTAGCGGCTTTCCCAGCTTCGACCTCCATGCTTACGTACTGTATCGATTTTCGCGAGGTACTCTCTTTCTTGTCTCTTTTTGTTGATCGATCACTTACATCTTTTGGATTTAGCATCCTGCGATTGGAACTCAGTGCTTCACTTACTTTCCGGATTCTTGCTCCTTTCGCGAAGAGGTTGCTCCGGCTCGGACCTTCGGTTTATATGAGCAGGTCACATTTGTTCCTCTAGACACTTCAAAAGTTTCTATTTTCGCAGATTGAAATGCTGAGAGGAGCAAAGCTGATCCAAGGAGGAAGTCGAGAGAACGCTTTGATCTGCAAGTAAGATCATGTGTTCCTTTCTCGTTTCGTATCTCTTCGTCTTCTCTTTGTTTAAACAGAAAAGTAACTGGCTGGGTGAATCCGCCGCTTCGATTCCGGGACGAGCCTTGCCGACACAAGATGCTCGACCTCTTGGGCGATATCTCGTTGTGCTGTCGAGGTGGCCATCACGGTCTCCCCGTCGCTCATATCTTCGCCTTCAAGGTATGAAAGAACTTGAGCTGTCCATGACACTTTTTTCTGGTTTTCTTTTCAATCCAGGCAAGTCACGCATTGCACGTAAGGTTCTGCAAGGCGCTTCTTCGAACCCACGAAGAATCCTCAGACGCTTAGGGTTCTTCCGAACTTCAATGCTCACCGGAGCAACGAGAAGGCTGCACAAGATCGTGGGTGCCGTGAGGTTCGTCGCTGGTTTGGGCTTCTCTACGCAACCCTCACCGCAAGGAACAGGAGGCGGCATTGACAACGTAGCCTACCACATTCGACACAGAAAGAGGAAACCGAGGAAGAACACCATCGACGTGAGCACCCCTCCAGCGGCTTCTCTCGACACCCAGCTAGTTAATCAAGTGGTGGCAGTGCTCAACGACACCGTTTACCTGGAAGATCTGGACGAGAAGCTAGATGGAGTGAGAACGAAGCTCTCGTCACCTCGAGACGTTGCCATGGTGCTCAAGCTCGTCCGCGACACGAGGCTGGCAAATGGATTCTTCGACTGGGCCAGGAAACAAGGCGACGTCCCTTTGAATCTGGACACTGCGCTCACGATGCTCCACAGGCTCCTGGTGGCTCGAAAATGGGGTGCTCTCAACAGCCTGGTAGACTGGATGCACGACAACAGCTTTTACCTCGACTTTGGCTTGTTCGAGGCCGTGATCAAGGAGGCCTCGGACGCTCAGCAGGTGGAAGTTTGCGAGAAGTGGTATGGCCTCATGCAGCAGATCAACGTAGCTCCCAACTCCTTCATCTGCAACCTCATGATCCGGGTGTATAGTCGAGATGGTCGAGGCATGGACGCGCTCAAGATCTTCCAGGACATGGAGGACAGCAAAGTGAGGCCCACGGTGGTGACGTACAGCCAGCTCTTTTCAGTTTGCAAGGAGATACCCGGCTCGTCCAGCATCGTGCGAACGCTTCTCAACCGGATGAAGCTCCAGGGCATCAAGCTGGACAAGATCGCGTATACCAGCCTGATGAACGTCTACGCCAAGGCCGGCCAGACTCAGCAAGTGGAGGACCTCTTCCAGTCCATGGCCGGGTGCCAGATCCAGCCCGACATCTATCTCCTCAACTGCGTGCTTGAGTCCTACGTGAGAGCCGGCAAGCTGGAGGAAGCTGTCCGCGTCTTCGACGATTGCATCCTCGGCTCTGGGAACCGGCCCAACGAGGCAAGCTACGTGATCATGCTGGGCCTCTACTGCAAGGCCGGCCTCTACGACAAGGCTCTGGAGCTGCTCAAGACGATCGATCACGACAGTGTGAAGCTCGGCGAGCAGTTCTTCATCACCTTGATCAAGGCTTTCTCGGCGGCGCAGTGCTGGGACGACACCATCGCGGTGTTCAAGGAGATGCAGTGCTCGTCGTGCCGGATACGAGGCAGCGTGTACGTGGAGCTGCTCGAGGTGTGCTTCAAGGCCGGGTACTATGATTCGTGCGTGGAGTTTTTCGCGGCAGTGCTGGACAAGGGGGTGAACCGGACGCCTGGGGTGTACGAGACGATGATCCGGGCTTACGAGCAGATGGGCCAGATGGAGGAGATCTCTCACGTCTTTGTCTACATGCAAGACATGCTCTGCCCATTCACGGCCAGTGTCTACGACTTACTCCACGGCATCTTTACCAGGACTGAGAACGTGCAGATGCTTGAAGCGCTGGAAAATGTGAGGAGAGCTGGGAAACTTATTGTTCATGGTCTTTGATGAAGATTATTACCTTCCTAGAAATTGATTCCATATACTATGCTAGAAATACTTCTATTTGTAATAATCATATAGAAATATAACGCATTGTTTACCTTTCACTCTAGTCCTCACTAAATAATCAAGCCACAAAGTAGTTTTATTCCAGCCACCAGATCTAAGTATTTTTCAGCCACACTATCAATTGAATCAATTATATTGTCGTTATAATTATTGTTAAGATCCTATCTCTTACACCATATGTTAGGTGATCACTTGATTTTAAAGCTTGGTGCTAAATAACAAAAATAAAGACACTTATTTTTGCCTAGACTATATTATTGAGGTACCCAATCACCCAAAAATTTTAAATTCATTACCTTAAATCCATGCTTTAATATACCTTTAAGCTTCCCTTTAACCCATGTTAACTACATGGTCAAAGTTGGCACATAATGCAAAACCTCAACAAAAATTAACAAGAAATGCAAGACAAGATAAATAGTTACAATACGTAAGTTATGATGCATGGGTGTATTAAGGCACTCCAAGCTAACAATGGTAGTACTCCAAATAAGACTTTTTTGATGGATTAATTCAAGATTCTAACTTTTTTAGGAGATGGTTTATTTAGTTTGGCTAGTTAATGTGAAAAAGTCTTTGGCTACTAGAAAAACTCCAAATGCAAAAGTTTAGTGGTTATTTCAATAGTTTTGTGTAATACAGATTTTCAATGATGGAATTCGCTTGAGGAGTTTTGTGTTGCAAACAAAAAACTATTTAAGTTTATCATAGATGAATTTGAAATTGCTTTTGTCTATGTTTTTCCCCTCATTATGACGTGGAGAATACTTACATAAAACTTTGATATTTCCAATAAGGGAAAAAGACACTTCAGGATTATATTAAGAAGCTCACTTACTTGATTAGCCACATTTCAATAAAGGATCTAGATTAGAACAAATTTTATTTTATTGATGATATTTATAATGAGAGCATGAGGCAACACTTATGTCATTCCTAGCCTACAAAGAATTTAGAGGAGTTCTTTGATGTAACTCATTAACTTGACAATGACAAACACAAGTCTTGTAAGCATTTAAGGAATCCTTTAATTGAGAACTATTGTGATGATTGCCATGGATATAAGGATAAGATTAAATATCATAAGTTGAAGTCTATAGTGGTTACTTTTGATGTGAAGGAGTAGAAAAAATAGAAATTCTTTGTGAAGAATTATAGGCAAGGTTATTATCATTACAATGAGTTTGGACACTACAAAGCTAATTAATAACAGTTGAAGAATAAATAACAAAGCAAGAAGAATGGTCAATCTTCATATAATAATATATTAGATACTAAGAAGTTACACAATTTACAACTTGAGGATGACAACAAAGATTGGTCTAGCCAAAGGAAAAGACTTTTGATTGTTGTTCGTCAACTTAATAATGTGTGGAACAGAATAGAGATCAAGGACAGTTATGCATCAAATTTAATGTTGGAAAGCATGTTCAGGATTTATTGACATTGAGATGGTGTCCATGAAGAGGCAATGGGAGTAGAGGGGTGTAACCATATGTGCAAATAGGTGGGTAGATAGGAGGAATCAGCATATCAAGGGGCTTGTGGCATATAGTCAAGGACAGGTAGCTTTTCTGAAGGCTATCGATATTTCCTCAACAGGAAAAATAGCTGAGAATACTTTGCGTTGCTGGGAAGAAGGCATTAGCATTGTGGGTGTAGAGAACATTATTATGGTTGTAATGGATGGGAAAAATGTGAATAGAGCATCAATAACAATTCTAAAACAAAGGTATGGGCAACATGTTTTGCCCATTACTTGAACAATACCTTGAAAGACTTCGGTGAACTTCTATGGATGGTAAGGTTTTTGGAGCAAGGAAAAGCTTTAGTGAGCTTTTTTAGAAACCACTCTCATATGGTGGCATTGCCACTAGAGTTTACTCATAAGCAAATGTTGCGCTATTGTGATATAAGGTTTGGCCGATAGAGAGGCTGGTGGAGCTCCAGGAAGCTCTACAATAGATGTTCATATGCTTTATAGAGCAAAGCTTAAGTCGAAACGAGAGTAGGCAGAGACAATTATGAAACCATTTTTGATGACCATTTTTGGGAACAGGTTAAAGATATATTAGAGGTGTCCAAGGATGTTATGTTGCTACTTTGTCTTGTGGACGGTGATGTACTTGCAATTGGAAAAATATATAAGTGTATGAATAGGTTGGAAGCAAGTTTAGAGGAAGGACAATCGAATTATAGTAGGTATATGGAACTTTATTAGATAATGTCTAACTGGCGGCATAAGTATCACTCGTTCATGCACTCAGTGGCATATATGTTGGACCTTGAATTTCAAGAGCATGAAAAGCATGCCAATAGAGAAGTCATGAAGGATTGGAATGCTTATTTTTACCCATGTTTACATCTAGTGAGAGGGATGTGATACGGGGTGAACTTTTAATTTACAAAAGGATAGGAGGCATTTTCAACTCAATTGATGTTAATGTTAATCGCACTAAGAAGGGAATTGTACATTGGTGGGAGGACTATTGTTATGAAATTCCAGCTCTTTAGAAGTTGGCCATTCAAGTTCTAAGTCAAGCATGCTTGTCATCTTTGGTGAAAAGATTGTTTAGCACTTTCAAACATGTGTCTTCAAAGAAGAGGAATAAACTTACTATGGATAGGACAACAGATTTGGTTTTTTTGGCTTGCAATAGCAAATTATTAACTTGCAAAAATGACAATGACCACAACAATTTTGTGAGCTACAAAGTACTAGAGACAATTCTTCATTAGGAAGACAAGCTTAAGTCATGAGAGGAAGAGGAGGATGGAGATAATGTCGAAGATTGTGAAGTTGAAGATAATGATGATTTGTAGGATGTTTGAGTAGTTCGTATATAATAAAAAACAAAATTTTCCTAGAATAAAAAATAAAATATTCTTAATATATTCACTAGTATTTGTGAGCCATCGTGAGCTGTGATTGTGTTCTGTCGTCGGGTTTCTAATATCTAAGGCTCGTGTTTGTGTTCCATGTTCATGTTCGTAATTATAATTTTATCTCCTAATCCACCTTCACCAACCATGACATCCTAACAATGAGATCCACATGATAAATATCTGCAAGATAAAAAGTTTCTAAAAGTGTGGTTTTGCCAACCAACACTTCCAACCCCTCTACATAACCATCAAAATGCTAAGCAAAGGTAGCTATACCTTCCACCATATAAGAAAGAACTCTTCATGTCACCAAGCCATGCTCCTCAACAAACTTTGCCAAAATAAAGTTATGATCGCTCCCAATATCCAATAAAATCTACACTGGACCACCACAGAACATGCCCTCCAGCATTAAAGCTGATTCACGAGTGTCCTCAAGCTCCATCTTGTTCCACAGATAGTTGAGTTGACAAGTAATAATTAAAAGCCTCTCCCTTTGACCGAAATGGTCATCTTTGTCATCTTCACATTGTAAAGTTTGCAACTTTTTAATATCTAACTTACCGTTAGTAGAAGAGTGGCCATTCTTTTTGCCATGCTGCTTGTTCTTCAACTGTGGACAATCAACCTTGTAGTGTCCAAGCTTGCCACAATAATAAAAACCCTATCTATAATTCTTCACAAAAAACTTTTGCTTCTTTGACCCTTTGCATCTGAGGTAGCTACTATAGACTTTAGTTTGTGATGCTTGTTTCCATCCTTGTGTTCATGATGATCATCACGATGATTCTTGACAAAAAGACTTCTCAAATGCTTACAAGATTTGTTTGTCATTGTCAAGTCTATCAACTGCATCAAAGAGCTCCTCCAAACTCTTTGTAGGCTGAGAATGACGCAAATGTTGCCGCATGCTCTCATTATGAAGGCCATCAATGAAACAACATGAAGTAAGATGGGTATGTTGGGCATGGCCAATCAACCTGAGGCATAGTCTAGCTCTCGCTTACATGTTTGTCCTTGTTTTGCTTCTAATTTGGGTTTAAGCCCAAATTCCACACCATGCTAGTTGGTGAAGTACCCATATCCTTGCGTTAGGCCACCGGTATTCTAAAATATTATCAAACTCCGTTTAGCTCTGTTTTGCATGCTGGTCCTGGCATTGGGATACTAGATGTTGTAAGACTGTTTCAAGTCGCTCCGTGCTCCAATTCCTTTGTTATTTGGGTTGTATGCTCAATAATTGCTTCATGCTTTGGTTTCTTTGCTCCTTGGCTCCATGCTTGGGAGTTTGACTCTATTCCTTCATTTAGTGGCCCAAGGCCTCGAAGCTTTATTGTCTTTGAACACGTGGCATATAGCATGTGGCATGTGACACATGGCATTTAGAGGGTTTAGGTTCCACTTCGTGGTTATCCTATAGTAAATCGCTATAGGATAAAGGGGAAAAACCACATGTGCTACATTTGGTATCAGATGATAAATCTTAGCAAGTACTATCTAATGAGATTGGGCAACTAGTCTTATTGCATACATAGAAATAAAAATGATGATTCAAATGGGTATATGTTTGGGTGCTAAGACTTCGCATGATTTCCTGTAGCACATAAATTTGGAGTCAAACTCCAAGCCCGTTGTGCTATGAATGAGGGTCTAATATAATCCCATGAGCACCAACTCCTCGTATCCAACACATGCATTCAAAATGGTGTCAGATGATGTCTGGTATAATATTGGTATACTGGTGGCCTAACGTGAAGGGGAAGGTAACCCACTAACTAGAGCAGTGTGGAGCTTGGGCTTAGACCTAAGCTGGATGTTGAACAAAGAGCAACATACCCTAGTAGGAGCCAAATTAATGTTTTATGTGGTTGGACATGCATTCTAACCTACTATACATTTAGACCCCCCATTACCCATTACCCCCCCCCCCCCACCCTCGTGAGGAACATATGTTTGGGCTTTCACCCCAAGCCTCCTTTAGTACCAAGAGTTTGTCTCTGGGACAAGCTCGAAACTTACTAAATATGGAATGTCTTTAAATTGTGAATTTGGACACGAGATGAATACCATTACCATTAGGACATGATAGCAAGGGTGTTTGGCAGACATAATAAACTATCATCCAGCAATATTGAGGGACTAATCTTAATAT